GGGGGGTGGATGACAGAAACAACCATAATAATAATTCAACAAAATGTGTTACAAAACATAAATTGAGCCTTTTATCTGAACACAACAACCCTTGAACTTAGCCCCTCATTCAAAGCGCCCTTAAAGGGATAGTTCACTCAAAAATGAAAATTCTGTCATTTATTACTCACCCTCATGTTGTTCCAAACCCGCAAGACCTTCATTCATCTTCGGAACAAAAATTAAGACTTTTTTGGTGTTTTCTTTGCACACAAAAAGTATTCTCGGAGCTTCATGAAAATAAAAGTTGAACCACTGATGTCACATTAAAGGGCACTTATTATGCCCCTTTTTACAAGATGTAATATTGGTCTTGGGTGTCCCCAGAATGTGTCTGTGAAGTTTCAGCCCAAAATATCCAACAGATCATTTATTATAACAGCTGGAAAATGTCATTTTTGGGGTGTGTCTAAAAAAGAGCTGTTTTGGAGTGTATCGCTTTAAATGCAAATGAGCTGCATATTGCCGCCCCATCTCCAGAAGTGGGCATCGCCTATACGTCTCTGCATTGCATATCTACAGCAATAAACAGCCGGCAGAAGCAACATAACAGAGCGAGAGAACCGGTGTTTAGCTGTACATATGGGAAGCCAAATGCACTGAAAGTGGGACGAAACAGCGCGATGTAACAGAGCCCCGCGACTCAGATGTTGGGAGAAAATGAAGACGCTTATGTTCAGTCTTACATCCAAACAGAGCATCGGGATTGCTTGCGAGACATGGAGGACAGCGTACAACTGCTGAGGGTGGAAACTGTAGAAATGCAGGGCTGTCAATCAACTCCTGTGGCCCGGCTCTATGCAATGTGACGTCACACTGCATGAGAATCAAAACGGCAGGCCTAGTGAGACTGACTTGGTTTAAAGGGGATTTAAAAAATGAGGAGTGGGTGGATTTTTATCATTGTAGGGTGGTTGTGTTCAGACACTGCCAACACACAGTGGATTTTGCATCTTTAACTATTTTAATGATGTTTTTACTACCTTTCTGTGCCTTGACCGTGGTAGTTCCCTTGCTGTCTATGGAGGAGCAAAAAGCTCTCGGATTTCATCAAAAATATCTTAATTTGTGTTCTAAACATGAATGAAGGTCTTACAGGTTTGTAACGACATGAGGGTGAGTAATTAATGACAGAATTTTCTTTTTTGGGTGAAGTAAACCTTCTAAGGTCTTTCTTGAATCTACAATTTGGAGATACAATGCTATAGTCCACAGAACCTCTGAAGGGGACTGAAATAGCTGAAAGCAGTGATAGTTTAAAGGGGTCATATGATGCGATTTCAAGTTTTCCTTTCTCATTGAAGTGTTACAAGCTCTTGAGTTTTGTTACTAGTTTAAGTATTTGCTATCGACTGTTCGAATGCGGAGTTTTGCGCAGCACAGCGTAACGCGTCGTGTGTGTGTGTGTGTGTGTGTGTGAGGGGAACAGGGTCACATCACAGGAGAGTGAACTGCCTGTCAGAAATCATAGCACGTCAGCTGTCTTAACCGCGGCTTGTGTACTGCATCATTACTGTGTCTGTCACCTGTGTGACTCTGTTCCCCTTTCGTGCTTGAACTGATAGTAAAACTAACGACATTATTAACGGTCTTGATATTTACTTTGAAAGCTGAAGCTCGCGATTATGGTAAGGGGCGTTACATTTCCGACGCGTGCTTGTGGTGTTCGGCCAATCACAATGCACTGGGTCAGCTGGCCAATCAGAGCAGACTGCGCTTGTCAAAGGAGGGGGCTTTGTTGAAAACGAAGTGTTTGAGAGAGGCGGGGCATAGAGGACCTACAATAATGTACAGTGTTTGTACATTAAAGCATGTCAACATATTCTGTTACACCAAATACACAAAATAATGATCTTTAAAAAAAGCATCATATGACCCCTTTAAGGTTTTTTTATTTTAACGTTCTTTGCTTAGAAATACCTAAGCAGCTGTTCATATATAAAATATATAATATTTTAAATATCTGTGAATATATAAAAATCTGTTGTGTGCTTTCCTCTGAATAACAAAATAAAAACAAAAACGACATTGGTGAGAAAACAGATGTTAAGAAAGCGTTTGACAGGTGCAATGTGGATATGCCTGCACCAGCTCTGCAATTGGCAATCAGTTTCAAACTCCCGAAAATATCTTCGTTTTGGTTTGATTTTGTTCAAAATGACATCTTTGATTTCGCTTGCGGTATTTGCTGGTAATGAAGAAGCTGTACATAGACATGTTCTGAAGATTACGGGATATTGCTGCAATCATGTATCACAAGAGCAGTTTAACTCTTCCAGTTCCCCAAATAAAGTCTTATTTGAGTTCTAATATTACTGCAGTAAACGCTTTGGCTCTCTCTTCCTTTCTCGCCATCAGAATAGAGTTAACATCAAGAGTGGATACTATGCTATATGGGGCTGTTATAATCAGCAGGGGACTTGAGCAGAAAGGTGATTCTCCTCAAAGAGAAGACAGCCTTTGAACACAGGCAGAGGATTGAATGTGCTGCTGTCTCAGCTTTGATCTCCTCATTATTGCAGGAAACAGCAAGAAAAACTAAGTACAACCAGGAAGCAGAAAGCTGCTGTCGTCCCAGACGAGGTCTAGCTGGTGCTAACTGTTACTTGGCTTAATCTCCTTTATAATCAGGCCAATACCATCAACACTATTCAGCTTCTGTTGGCAAGAATTTTACAGATCATTTTATGTCTATATGGTCCATTATCGGAATCAGTTATCCCATACTCAGACATTTTTCCAACTGCAACCTAAAATGCAGCTTTTTTTCAGATACTGAAATGCTTTTAAGATTGATGCTGACAAAAATTCTTCCACTGCATGTGGTTTTTAATAGAAAATTATGTTTAAAAAAATCCTCTCAATGAATGTTTTTACCATATTATTTGATACACGCAGGTATCTGTAGACCATCATTAGAAAAGACCATCTGTCAGACATTATGACAGATGGCAACAGTTACCAAGGTTGATATTGTCAGTAAAGTTCGGGAGAGATTACAGTGTGGATCCGTACAACTGTGGTTTGAAACCATTAGATGAACAATTCAAAGCCTGAAGAATTAATCGGATGTTTGTCTATTATCTCTATGATTCACTTGGAATAAAATCTCAGTCTCCAAATGAGATGGCTTGAAGCAGTGAATGAGACTCCAGCTCATGCTGCGATAAAGTCACCTGGGTATCACAGCCAGACATGCGATGACACACGAGCAGATGGGGGAGGAAAGGTTTAAGGATGAATGACTCTACACCCACTCTCCTCCTCCACTTCCCTCCGACGTGAACCAGACAATGAGGGAGAGAACAGAGCGCTCAGATCCTGTCACACAGTTGATGAATGAACTGAAGTTCTCAGCAGTTAAAGACCAACACAATTCAATCAGGTTAAGGGAAATATAAAAGCTGTACTTGTTCCATACAACCAAACAGGCTCCTACGATGCACTATGAACACACAATCCCATAATGCTTCAAAGTCATGTTAGAATAATAGCATTTATGAGATCAGTCCATGTGAACGACACAACAATGTCATAACCATCTAAAAGCTTTTTGAGCACCGACTGTACAAGAAAAATAAAAAAAATCAGGTTATAAACTTTTTGGTATGAGCCAAAAAATCACATTTTCATTGTGAATGTTGATTGCATGTGTTTTGCCTAGTGGTGATGAAGAACAGCTACACCTAGATCTTACTTCTACACTTTTCCATTAACCCGGCTTCATTCACATTATGCCTGGCTCATTAAACAATCTTCATCTTATTACATTCATTTTGTCATGGAGTTTAGCCATCCTTTCCATAATGCTTTTTTATATACCAAGCGCTCCATTTATCTCCCTGTCTTAGTTTCATAACACCATGTGAACCAGGTCAGTGTGCCACATGCCTGGAGTTGAGTCAGCCTTTCTGTCACCTGAGTAACTGATTAACTACCCACCAGAGAACCAAAGGCACAGAAAGCAAGAAAGTATTAGTCAGGAACCCTCTGATTAACTTTCTGTAGTGGCCAAAAACAAATAAATTGTAACCATGGCCTAAAGCCCAAAGTACAGTGTGTACTCATAAAAACCGGAGTATGATTTGGACTTGAGTTGAACAACAGATATCATACTCCATCGGATCCGTGGAGCGCCCACATTACTACCTTGGACAGTGCCAATAGTAAAAATCAAATAGAAACTACCAACTAAATAGTGTCAATTTAATCGTTTTATTTAAACACAAGTTAAATAAAATCTAACTTATTGTCTGTATACTTCCGTAACAAATAAACCTGACAGTTTCATTGGATTAACCCTCAACAGAGCAGGCAGGGGTCAACAAACCAGGCCCTGGTAAGTCAACACTTATCTTCAGGGCGTCTCAGGTCTGGAAGCGACTCACACTAGGCTTTTGTGTTTTTGGCACATTTTAATGAGACATAATGAGTCAAACACCAAAACATCCTCACAAACCCAGGGACCAGAGGAGGGAAAGTATTTTAACATTGCCTTTACTTGCCCTCTTTCTCTCGCAAGCTCATCAAGCTTGTCAAGAGTGCACACATTCAAGTTAGGCACTTTGTTTTGGCAGATACATTTTTAAGAATGATCCGCAAACAGCAAGAAAGAGTCAAGTTTAGGCCAGTGTCAAGCCATTCTTTGTATAATGCAGAAGGATTCCCAACTATGAGCAATTCAGAGCCAAACAAGTCTGTATTTGGGAGAGTAAGGCTAGATGGAGTGTCCATGCACGCATCTGCTGACCCTATGTGACCCTAAGCCTTTCTTGCTTAGGGATCCTCCCCCTATACATCCAATATTTTTAGCCCAATTCTTGCTAAAAGTTTTTGTAACACCTAACTAATTCTTACACTACTGCCATTTTATGAGTACATAACAAAACATGCCAATGAGAGAAGTAGTGGCGAGTATTTTCTAATGTATATCTCAATAAAACGAAGGGGAAATGAACCCTTTAAAAAAAGGGTTGTTGATTAGACGGAGGCAGATCTGAAGTTGATTGTAAGAAAGGGGAGGAGTTTAATCAGGCTAAATGACTGGAGAAGTCTGGCATACGTCACTAGAGTAAAGTCTGTCATTTCACCGAAAGTTCCAAGTTATGTTTGTTCATAATAATATTAATAACTTTGTAGGTTGGGTGAATTTTCATTTCAACTTCAAGATGAGTTTAATTTTAAGACAAAGCTCAGGTGGACCAATGGTGAAACACCAAGTCTAAATAAACCAATGCATTCTTGAAGTTTCCAATTGAAACTAAGGGTTAACTGGCCTCTTTGACGACACTTAGAATTTGTTTACTTTCAGTCGGAAAAGGACAAAAGATGGTCTCAACCTGAGCTCTTTACTGCGTATTGAGCTTGCAGCTCCATCAATCAGCAGATCTGTGGCCACCTAAACTCACCTGTAACCCTCAAAGAGCTAGGGTCTCATTAAACAAATCTCGACCTGCTATAACTCTCCAGATGAAATGTCTTCTAAAGAGAACTAAGCGTAACATCTCATGATGCCCTCAGGGTTAGATTCACAGTTTCTTTTAAAGTAATTGATTCACAGGTTCAGACATTCACCTCATGTGCATTCAGACAGACATCCTCATTCTGCAACACTTTCCTGTGAGATGAGAAGTTTCACATCTCTGATTTTGGGAAGATTGAGTCTCGTCAATCTGGAGCGAAGTGACACAGAGCATGTGGTAACAGTTTTGTGCGTCACTGACACTGCAGAGTCGCACTCGTTCCCTTCACTTCTTCTTCTGGCCTGCAAAGGCTCCAATCTTTGTCTCGCACTCTCACAGGGTTTGGGGAATCTGGCAGCTCCACAAAGTCACGCAAGACTTAATTCTCAACACCCGCACAACCGCTCACTGTGTACTGGCTGTTACTTCACAAGACAGGAAGGGAAGCTCAGCCCTGGCTCATTTACAGATAAGATTC